GACACTCAACGGCTGAGCCACGCCCGGCCGGGCGATATGCTGTTATCTTTATAAGAAGGGGAAGTTTGGACACAGACACACACATGCAGTAGGACACCATGTGAAGATGAAGGCAGAGATTTGTGTGATGCTCCTACACACCAAGGAACACCAAAGATTGTCAGCAAAGCAACTAGAAGCTAGGTGAGAGGCATGAAATAGGTTCTTCATGCCTCTCACCATTTTGGAGACTAGAAGTCAAAGCGAACAGAGCTAGTGTCTGATGAGAACTCTCCCCTTCAGTAACAGACTGCCACCTTCTCACTGTGTGGTCACATAAACTCTTCTTGTGCACAAGGAGGGGGTGGGGAGAGAAAAAGAGAGAGTGTGCAAAAGCTCTCTGGTGCTTCTTCTTATAAAGAACACTAATGCTATTGGATCAGTTTTACCTCATTTAACTTTAATTGCTTCCTTAGAGATGCCATCTCCAAATACAGCAGCACTAAGGAATTAGGGCTGTAACAAATAAATTGGAGGGGGGCACAAACATTCAGTCCATAACATTTTGCCCCTGACCCCCAAAATTCATGTCCTTCTCAGGTGAAAAATACATTCATTCCATTTCAACAACTCCCAACTCTTAACTCTGATCTAAAATATCATCTAAGGTAAAATTCATAATGAGGCAAAATTCTTCTCTAGCTGTAAACCTATGAAACCAGACAAGTTATATGCTTCCAAAATATAATGGGACAGGCATAGGATAGACATTCTCATTCCAAAAGGTAGAAATTAGAAGGAAGGAAGGGCTAATGGGCCCCAAGCAAATCCAAAATTTAGCAAGACAAATTCCATTAGATCAGAAGTTCCAAGTATAATCCTATTTTGTTCGCTGCTCTGCCTCCTGGACCCACTGTGATGGCAGTCCCATCTTCCAGACCCCCTGGGGTAATGGCATCATCACAGTTGTGCTGGGCAGGGGTCATGCCCTTGCAACTCTGCCAGGCAGGGATGTTGTTCCACAGCCCTGGTGGGCAGAGGTTCTCTGGCCTGTTGGAAACTGAGACAGTGGCCCTGATCATCTCTGTCTTTTGATTGGAAAGTTTAATCCATTTAAACTTAAAGTACTTGATAAGAAGATAGTTGTCATTTTGCTATTTGCCTTATGCTATTTGCCTTTCTATAAGCCTTATAGATTTCTTGGTCCTTATTTCCTTCATTATGGTCTCTTTTGTATTTAGTTGATTTTCTGTAGTGAAACATTTTAATTTTCTTCTAATTTATTTTTACATATATTCTATAGCTGTTTTCTTTGTGGTTACTATGGGGATTACATCCTAAAGTTATAACATGCTAATTTGAATTTATACCAGCTTAACTCCAAAAACATACAAAACCTCTACCCATTTATAGCTCCATCCCTATATTTTTCACTTATGGATGTAACAAAATTATATCTTTGTACACTATGTGTCCAAAAACTTACACTAATAATTGTTATATAAATGCATTAGTCTCTTGAAATTGTGTACAAAAAAAAGTGGAGTTAAAAACAAGTTACAAGAATACTAGCTTTTAAGCCAATAAATTTTAAAATATATTAGTCTCTTAAGTCATGTGAAAAACAAAAAGTAAAGTTATAGACTGTTGTCACAGTAATACTAACTTTTACAACTTTACTGAGATTTTTATTTCTTCATATGGATTCAAGTTATTGTTTTGTGTCCTTTTGTTTCAACCTGTAGGACTTCTTTAGGATTTCTTTCAGGGCAGATCTAGTGGTAATGGACATCCTCAGATTCTGTTTGTCTGGGAATATCTTAATTTCTCCCCCACTTTTGAAGGCCATTTTTTTGCTGGATAATGGATTCTTGGTTGACAGATTCTTTGTTTTGGCACTTTAAATATATCTATCCACTGTGTTGGGCCTCCAACCCTTCTGATGACTGATCTACTGATTACCTTATTGAGAATCCTGTGTATGTGACCAATTGCTTTCCTCTTCCTGCTTTCAAGATTCTCCCTTTGTCTTTGACTGTATGAGTTTGGTTATAATATGTCTTGGTGTGGATCTCTTTGAATTCATCCTGTTTAGAATTCATTGAATTTCTTGGATATTTATCTTCATGCCTTTCATCAAATTTTGGAGGTTTTCAGCCATTGTTTCTTCAAGTAATTTCTCCTTCCCTTTATCTCTCTTTTCCTTCTGGACTCCCACAAAGTATAAGTTGGTCCACTTGATAGTGTCCCTTAGGCTCTGTTCATTTTTATCCCATCTTTTTTTTTCTTCCTTAATTTCAATTGCCCTATTTCGAAGTTTGCTGAATCTCTTTTCTGCCTATTCAAAACTACCTTTGAACCCCTCCAGTAAATTTTTCATTTTAGTTATTGTACTTTTCAGCTCTACTATTTTTTGGCTTATTTGGGGGCTGTCTTAATTGATATTTCCATTTTTTCATACATTGTTTTCTTTCTCCACATCTTCATTTAGTTCTTTAAGATTCTTTATGACAGTTATTTTAAAGTCTTTGTCTAATAGACCTGCCCTCTGGTCTTCCTCAAAAATAGTTTCCATTAGTTTCTTTCCTTTGAATGCACAGTAATTCCCTGTTTTTTTGCATGTCTTGAGATTTCTTTGTTGAAAAAATGAATATTTGAATCTAATAATGTGGTATCTCTTGAAATCAGATTCTTCTCCTTCTTCAAGGGTTTACTGGTTTTGGTTTTGGTTTTGTTTTAATTGTTGCAGGCTGTTTTTCTTGCTTTAGATCAGCCTGAAGTGTAAAGTTAAGGTCTTTGCAGGTCTTTCCTGAGCCTGAATCTTTCCCTGGGCATGTGCAATGACTTCCTATTTTCCCCCAGAGATGCAGCTGCTTTTGAATGTCCTAGTCTATACTGTCTGGCTCCCAAAAGAGGAAAATGAAAGGGGAGAGGGAATAACAAAATGGGAGTGCCAGCTCATCAAATCCCCTGAAATTCACTTGAGGCAGTGTGAGAGAGGCTTGCATCAATGAAGGATGGTGGTGCAACAATGGCCAGCCACCTCTGAGTCTGCATTTCCATGATCAGAAGCAGCAACCAGACACAGATCTTCAATATTTGGAGGACAGGGTCCTTAATGCCCAACCTGAATCCTGCGAGTTGTTCCAGGATCACATGCACAGCTGCCTGCCTTGTGTTGGGGAACAGGAGATGAGGGAACTGTACTGTGCTAAGAGTTGAAATTTATTGAAATTAACTGTAATTTAGTGATCAACCCTTCCTCTGGAAGCTGCAAGACTTCAATAAACTCTAGAGTTCCAAAGTAGTTACAGCTGACAGATTCTGCCAATGTGACTGTTGTCCAGTTGAGAAGACAAATATCTGGTGATTTCTTTTTCACCATTTTCCCAGAATCTTCCTCCCAGTTACACACTTTTAAGAAAGAGAGTCTGCAGATATCAACATTGCTGTGAACTGAGGTGTTTTCTTTCTTATAAGTAAAAAAAAAAAAAAGTTAACATAACCACCTGTTTCTACTTGGAAGAAATTCTAGAGTACAAATGCATTTATATGGAATACTGCTTCATGACATCATCAAGAAACCATGGTCTGACCTCACATCATTCCTAAAACATACAAATATTATTCCTAATGATGCCAAGATTTTGTGATTCAAGATGTGGAGTGAAAAGGGAGAGAAATGAGATCTTTAAGTAAGAGAAACATGCGTGCACGTGAAATCTGGACTCTGAAAGAGCTAAAGTTCATACTGTATCTTAGAACAGGAATGAAATGTAATTTAATCACTCCTTCCCTTCTTCCCTTTCTCCTTCCCTCCCTCCCTTCCTTCCTTCCTTCAACAAATATTTATTGTGTGCCATTACATCCCAACACTATCCTAAATATTAAATATACAACAGTAAGCAAAAAGACAAAAGTCCCTTTCTCGTAGAGCTTACATTTGGACAAAAAGTAGTAGATACAACAAATAAATTATACACTATGTTCAAAGGCGGTAAGTGCTATGGAGAAAATATAAAGCAGGGAGAGGAAATAAGGAGTTTCAGGGTGGGGAAAAGTGCTGCTATTTCTTCTCTAGTATTTAGGGAAGCCCTCACTGTAGTAAATAATCTTATATGTTTAAATCATAGTTCATTCAGTCAGTAGTCAAACCCTCCTTTCAATCAGTTAATATGCAATACCCAAATTAGCCTAACTTTCTCCACCTGGAGATCCTTTTGATTTTTTTTCCTTATTAAATTAAAATGTACCAAAATTCTGTGCTTGTTGCTTAGTGAATCAGGCAGTTTGATGTACAAAGACCTGAATAAATACCCCTCACCCCACCTCAAGGTGTATGCAATTATTAGAGTGATTCTTTAAAGGACTTGTAAAAATGCCAAAATAGTGCCACAGAAAACACGTCAAATAAAGATTTAAGTTTTCTTTATGAAAAAAAGTGTTTAACGAGGGTTTATGGGGTTTTATAAAAACACCTTAACACCTTACAGACCTGAGGGGAAAAAGCTCTATTTAAGTATCATGCACCAATAGCAGACCACCCAATGCCGATGACTAGAAGCCTCAAACAGACCCATCCTTGGGAGCCTATGTGGAGACCCTAATTTTATGGTCATTTTAATTGTATTTGGGTTATTACCTCATGCCCCAGCAAACACCTACAGTATTTAATAAAAATGAGTGCAGAACACTGTTCTAGTTAAAGTATGTATTAACCAAAATCATAAACTAAGTATGCTTCACCATAAATTACCTGGGTGTTTAGTGTTTCTTTGCCTTTAAGTTCTATTTATTTTTCTTATAACATGGTAGGCTTCACTATGAACCAAATCAATGTTAACTGACTTAGCATTTGGACACACTCTTCTATCTCTAGCTCATTCATCCACACACACACCCCGCCCTGCACATTATAAAGTGATACGGCCAGCTAATCAACCTCCCGATATTCAAAAAGAAAGATTATAAAAGGCACTGTGGCTGAAAAGCAAACAAACCTTGAAAAAGAGAAAAAATACCTTGTTTTGTATTTGTCTAGAGTGTAGGTGTAGTGCGACGTCTCACATCAAAGTTAATTCCCATACAAAAACGAGTGGTCTTTCTCTGCAGAACAAAAGGAAATATCTTGAAAAGAAAAACTCAGCGCCTTCATTCTGTATTTGTCTAGGGCCTACAAAATGGATTCTTAATTTTTTCCTTCAGTACTCTGCAGACAATGATTCCTAGATGAGGGCAGCATCCAAAATTTAGGATTGGTGTTCTGTACCGCCACCACGGCCTGACTAGATATTCTAGCATAATTCCCCCACTTACCACATTTGTAGCTTCTATTTCCTCACCTGACCATTCCATAACCCATTACTTTTAGACTTTGACAACTCTCTCCCTGCAATATTACTCTGAAGGAGTTTTCATTTAAGCTCCCCTAAATCTCCTAATTGACAAAACGCTGGCCCCTTTTCAGTCCTCGATGGATTTGAGTTTTCTGTAATTCCTACCTAATAGAGCACTTCTCCCTCCATGACACGCTCTCCTCCTTGGGCACACCATCACCACCCTGGTTTCCGTCCTATGGCCTTCCAGCCCCTTCTCAGTCTCCTACATATCTCAACATACCTTTCCATAAAACACTTATTAATCACAAAGGGGAAATAGTAACTTTAAGGGCAGGAGTCTTGGAGATACCCTTCTTAACCAAGCGATCAAAATTAACATCACCTGTAATGAGAGAGATCAGCATCCTGATGTGATGCACTGAGAAGGATATGACATCGCTTTGGTGGTATTCTTGCTAATAATGCATAACTCAACATGCATGTTTCAACATGAGGAAGCAGCAGACAAACCCAAATCAAAAGACATTCTGCAAACATAACTGGCCAGAACTCTTGAAAAGCATCAAAGTCATGAGCGAAAAAGAAAACCCAAAGAATGGTCCCAGATGAGAGGAAACTAGAGTGGCATGCCAATTAAATGCAGAGCAGAATCTCGGGTTACATCCTGGACCATAAGAAGGACTTTAGTGGGACAAATGGCAAAATGAGAATGAAGTTTGTAAATTAGTTAATAATATTGTTTCAATGTTAATTTCCTGGTTTCGATTATTGTGCTGTTGTTATAACATGTTAATATTTGGGGAAGCTGAGTAAAGCACATATGGAAACTATCTGATTTGGGAAACTTTTTTGAAAGACTGAAATTATTTCAAAATAAAAAGTTAAAATTAACAGGTGTGATATAAAAATAAATATATATTTTGGTCTTTGTCCCTGTTTCCTTGCTTACAGCTCTAAAACCCTTGGAATTTTCAGAAGTGAAGTGTCTTTCTGAATGCTAGTGAGATGACTGGTGGCTTGGGGCTCCTGAATAGCCTCAAGATTGGGGCTGGTTGCCAGGGAAACCAACCAGGTGGTTAGAGGGTTGGAACATTCAGCCTCAGCCCCCAGACCTCTGAGGAGGGGAGAAGGGCTGAAGGCTGAGTTAACCACTAATGGCCAATAATTTAATCAATCATGCTACATAAGAAAGCCTCCATTAAAAACCCTAACCACAGACAGAGGTTCAGAGAGCTTCCAGGTTGCTGAATGCATAAAAGTGCCCAGAGGATGGGGTGTCCAGAGAGGGCATGGAAGCTCCACACCCCTCCCCTCAGACCTTGCCCTATGCACCTCTTCCATCTGGCTGTTCCTGTATCCTTTTATAACAAACCAGTAGTCTAGAAAGTTAAGCAGTTTCCTGAATTCTGTGGGCCATTCCAGCAAATTATCAAACCTGAGGAGGGGGTCGTGGGAATCCTTGACTTTTAGTCATTCAGTCTGAATCACAGGTACAGACCTGGACTTGCAATTAGCATCTGAAGGAAGGGGTGGGGGAATCTTGTGGGTCAGAGCTCTTAACCTGTGGGGTCTGCACTAACTCCAGGTACTTAATGTCATCACTGAATTATAGGACACCCAGTGTGGAAAACCCACAGATTTGGCGTCAGAAGTGCTGGTGTGAGTAGAGGAAACCAATTTTCCCTTAATAGGTTAATGGTTATGCTAAACACAAAGTTCTTTATGTAAACACTATGCTATTTATTTCTAATAGAGTTGGCCATCTGTCTCATAGACTATTTCCAGAAAAATATTTTTTTTCATATAATATTTAAGTAGATCACCAGCAATGGGGATCTCTGAGTTACCAATGGTATCTTGTGGTTACAACCTCAGACCTATGTATAAAATATCCTGAAATAATATTAAACATTTTCTGAGGTGGGCAGTGGGATCATACAAGTGGAGGCTAAGAAAATCTGCATGGCAATGGTAAGACAAAAAGACTGGACAGGAGGAGGGGTGTAGCAAGGGAACAGGCCTTGATCTAAAAGAGAGTGGGTGAGGGTTTGAACTCTGGCTGGCAGGAGGGAGGAAAGGGAGAACTACAGAAATTCACATTTTAAAGTTCAGGATTTGGCATCTGAAAAACAAGGAAGGAGCCACAGATGCTAGTTATCATGAAGAACAGTAGCATCTTGACAGAAATAAAGAATTTGGGAGGGACATATGATGAACCCAGTTTGGGGCCTGTTGAACTTTAAGTAGTGACAGAACATTTGGAGAAATGAGGGTGGAACCCAGAAAAGAGATTCAAGCTGGAAGTACGTTTTAGTGTCACCAGCAAAATGTTAATTGCTGAAATCATTAGAATGTATGTTCTCTTTGACGGAGAAATTGCAACAAAGAAAATCAGAGAAACGGGCTGTAGAGGGGGAAAGACTAGAAATGGGCTCTTCTCATACTTCTATGCCTGATTATTAGCAAAAACTGTAACCAATTTAGTTTGAAAATTATAGCAGACAACTTGTAATGGTACCTGCCTCTCAATGACCCTCCATTTCTGGGCCTGTGGCTATAGGGGTGAGGTCCAGTAGCCATGCTACTATATGATCCTGCAAGGCATGATCCTCTCTTTCTCTGTGTGTCTCTCCCTGTCTCTGTGTGTCTCTCTCTCTCTCAGTCTCTGCCCCCCAAACCCTAGCATTTAAAACCTGGAATGGGTAGACATTGTGACTAGGCACCACATTTATGGTACAGCCCCATAGAAAAGGTCAAATAAGTCCTATTTCTAAGGTCCCTGAGGCTTAATAACTAAAGGCTGGTTTTAATAGTCCATAATACACCAATCTCTTTTCCAACAAATGCTATCACTCCCATTCCTGCTTTAAGGTACTTGGAGGAGTCAGTTTCTATTGCTGTGAACAGAAGACTCAATTAATACCACTGTCTTAGTCGTTCCGGCTGCTTAACAAATACCAGAGACTGGGTGCTTCATAAACAACAGAAATCTATTTCCCATGGACCTGGAGGCTGGTAAGCCTAAGACCTGGGTGCCCGCAGACTCGCTGTCCAACGCGGACCCACCTCCTGGTTCACAGATGGAGGGCTCAGCCTTGGTGACCACACCACCCCCCAAAGACTCTCCTCCAAACGCCATCACATCAGGGATAAGGTTTCAACACGTGAATTTGGGAGGGGACGTAAACACCATAACCACCACAAATGAATACTCGGTGACCATTCCCTCGGCGCTACTCAGACTTCAGCGTGGATCTGAATCAGCCGGGCATCGTGTTAAACGCAGATTCTGAATCGTGGGGCCTGTGGTGGAGCCTGGGAATCTCCACGGCTAACCAGCTCCCGAATGGTGCCGTCGCGGCCCGTCTGGAGTCACACCTGAAGCAGCAAAGGCCTGGCGTCGCTCTGCCCTCAGGGAACTCATAGTCTGGCGGGGCAGACCAGCCATGTGCACGTGACATAAATAATTCAGCGTGTCACTGTGCAGCAGAGTATCCTGAGCGACTCTAGCCTCGGCTCTGTTTAAAACTACTGCGCTTAAACTTGCCCATCACTGAATTAAATTGGACGCCAGTTTCTGCATCTGCAGAATGAGAGTGACAGGATGACTATCTCATCCCTCTCAACTATTAAATTCTATCCATTATTATTGCCTAAATTAGTTACACAAATGGGTGCAACATCAACTTCGACAACTGTCCATTACGTGGGGGGGGGGGTTCTGGAAGCCTTTGAAGTCACGGTTAATTCTAACTTTTCCTTTTTATCCTTTTATGTATTTTCTACTATCAACAGGTATACTTTCATAAGAAACCCCAAATCTAAGAAAGATAGTGTCCGTCCCTGTTCATCTCTGACTATCCCAACCGCACCCCACTGATCCCCACCTGAGCCTTGAGCTAGGGATGGCTCCGTCCGTCAATACGTTCGAAGCTTCCTTCTCATGAGTGAGCAGAATCTGGAAGTAGTTTGTCCAGTGTTCCTGGAGGTGAACTGAGACCCCTGGGAACCGAGCTGCCATTTGATCTGATTGGCCACCTGCCCAGCTTCTGGTTTTCACCCTAGCTCCTGTTGGACAGGAACCCAGCCCTGAACCCCAGCCAGAAAAGCTGCAGCCCTCACTCCACAGAATTCTTGCCAGCTCAGGAGACAGACCCTGCTATGGTGCTTCCACCACCACCATCCCAATCCCCAGCTACCAGCTCACTCCCATTAGCTCAGAGAGGCCTCCCAGGACTGCAGCTCAGATAAAGGCTCAGATAATGGGAGACCCTGCAAAACTTGAGAAATTCTCCCCCGGGCCTGAGCCGTTAGCCTGCCAAAAGCCTTTTACAAATGACTTCTTTGCATTAGCAAGTAGACTAGAAACACAGCGACACATTTTGCAGGTTAATCCCCTATACTGACAAAATAGCAGCTATAGCTTAAGAGGTGAAATGTATTTGCTATTGAATCACGGTTTGATCACACACTTTAATATATATCTATGCTGACATTATGGATGAACTGTGACCATGTAATATCTTTGGGACTTGGTTTCCTCACCTGTAAAGCGACTGAACAACTCTCAAGTCTGTTCAATTAAAATTCTAGATAAATTTCTTTCACAAGCAATTAGGTTCACTTTGGGACCTGTTTTGCTTCTCCTGTTGTGTTTATACTACGAAGCAGAGCCACGATCTCACACTATTTTGTGGTTAGTTGTGCACATGAGCTTTTCCCCTGTGAAGTGCTTGAAGACAAGGATTTTGTTTTACTTGTAGCTGA